TGATGCATGCATGTGTTATATTTTGATGCATGCATGTGTTTAGTGTGTATTTTGATGCATGCATGTGTTTAGTGTATTTTGATGCATGTATTTAGTGCATCCATGAATGCCAGAATTGTTAATTTTCTCTCCAACAAGCCAATAAAATCTATGAGTATTATTTTAAGCATGGCAGTGAAGAGCTTTCTGGAACAAAACCAATTATTACATCTGCTGAAACACACAGGGCACAAGCACTCGAGGGTACAGGTGAGATTTATCAAATGTGTTGGTATTGAAAGACATTTTAATCATTTTTTGTTGTTGTTGTTACTCAAGCTTCTCTCAGATTAGTCTCTACTTTTCCTGTTCTGTCCACTCAATCAGTTCAGAGTTTCTAGCTTTTGCATTTAAAAGCACAGTTAGAAATGAGATGAGAGAGCAAGAAAAAAGCCACCGATGATCAGTCACAGATGAAGAAAGAGACGAAATGTTACAAGCGTGTTATAAACGCTTCACCCAGCGTAGAGAAACCGACAGTATCTCTTGATCTCAACGTCCTTGATCTTTGGCTGTATTTTTAATGCAATAATTGCATATACAGAGGAGGGCACATATCCCATCATAAACATGTGTGCACGCGTGATGATGGTTGCTGCGTGCTGATGTTCTCTTTGTGCGAAGGAGAGCATTAAAGAGGCTAATGAGGTAAAACCACTGCGCTTTTTTATACTCGGACTATTATTCAAACACAGCCTATTAACTTGATGAATTGGGATAATTAATGGATATTTCTCTATGTGGCTTTTGTGCTGTCAGGTGAATATTTAACTGTTTACTTCACAGGTTCTTTCGAGCTCCTGAGGGCCGACGAGAGCAGAATTCACCGCTGCTTATTTCCATCGCTTTGAATCCATACTTGTGCTCATGATTTAATTATAAGTCACACATTTGAATGAATAAAGTTCTCTATTAGCCAGCTGGCTGTAGACCAGCAGGGATCATTCAGCGAGAAGCCTTTGGTCTCATCGGGTGACGACCTCCGTGTCGCTGCAAAATAACAATGAAGCTGCCTTCCAGCGGTGCCATCGGACAGCGTGTTTGTTCTGTTTGCTGTATGCCTGACAATAACGAGATGGCAATCATTTCCGGTGCCTATGCTCTCTAAAGGGTTCAGGGTTGGACTCGGTGGGAACAGTGTGGTGTGAGAATGAAACGAGTAGATCATGTCAGTGCGCAGCTTCAAGCTGTTTGCCAGCGAGTCCTTTATCTGACAGCGCCGCCGAGCAAACACTGATCAGAGGAAGATAGCTCATAAGTATGGCAGAGCTATAAAATCTCCCGGCACAGAACCGCGAGATTACTCTTTCGAGAATCGAGATGACCAATTATTTTAAGAGGTACCGTGTTTCAAGTAGTTTTCCGCGGGCCCTTTCTCCAGAGATGCGGCGTTCGGAGAACATTATCCTCTCAAATTGTAGGCTATCTGTCTCTGCCTTGCGTGTTATTTGAACACCGAACGAGAGATTAACCTGCGAGAGAGAAACAGATTATCCTCATTCATGCTTCTAAAACATCTGAAGCCCAAATCAAAGGAAAGGGACAATCTCCCAATGGCTTCCTCAAACCCAGTGGCCATGTAAACCCACATTTGTGTTGTTCTGATGCCCAACACCACCAATCAAAAACTATTTTTTACCTCGCTTGGTTTCCGAGGTCTCGCACAAACCACAAATGAGTCTGATTTGATTTGGCAAACAAATGAACTCCCATCAATAGCAAATAGATCCAGCGTGTGTGTCTGTGAGAGATGCACTGAAAGTAATGAATTTGTAAAGCGCATTCCCTTCCCTCAATTAAACGAGAGCAAGAGCGGACGAGAGTACAACAGGTAATCACACATTTCCATTCGCACTTTCATTTTCCTCCGTTTCATTCTTCATTAAACTGCAGTTGATTTGTTTTCCTTCTTTCTGCGTCTGATTGATCGAGTGTATCATTTCACAATCTGTCTTTGTTATGGTGACATCTCTCCTCGGCACAGATGAACCCGAGCCCCTCGGTCTGTGAGGGAACTGATGAATGGTCCATCATCTGTCAGAGCCTCCAGACCTTTACTGACATCTAGTGGAAGAACATTAACAGATTCACTAATAAACGCTGGGAGGATTGTTTCTTTAATTGATTTGCTATACAATTTTTTGGTTTATGGGGACTTTCCATAGACATAATCATTTTTATACAGTACTAACTGTTTATTCTAAGCATTTGTTATACTGTATGTGTTTCTGTCCATAATCAAATTGATGGAAATCTTCTGAACGTCATATATCTCCCATTAAGTTCTTCAAATCACACTCTTGTTCTGTAATGTAAAATTCTGTCACTGTGGTGCCCTTGAGGTTTCGACCCGACTCTGGAATTGCAATTAGTCTCCTAAGTTGATTTGTGTGGACTGCATTTGCTAAACAACAGTAATTAGTGACTAAACGTCCCTCCGCCACCTCATCAAACCTCTGCCATGCTCCATCCGTGTTCAGTGTGAGGTGATGCTCCCATGAGACACACACCTTAGCCCTTTTCCCTGCAGTCATTTCCACAAAACATTGCCTGATAACATTTTAAAATGTCATTTTTCCCCACAAAATCATTAGTGGCTACTTTTGATGTTGGACATTAGGCCATCACTCTTAGAAAAAGGTTTCAGTGTACTTCTAGAACCCTGGCCTGGATGGGTTCTCGACTCATTTTTAAAGATATAGCTTTAAAAGGTTCTATATAAGGAGAAATGTCTTAAATGATTGCACAATATTTTCATGTTCAATGGGTTATGACATTTTCTTTTTAATAGTGGTTAAGGATGTTTACGAGCTGTTTAATTCATACAATTAAAAATGAATTCATTAAACGAAATGATCCCATGATGGAAAATGCTAAAAGTTTCTAAATATGAAGCAGTTCTATACATATTCTTTTCTTTTAAGAGTGAAAAAATGGGCACAAAAAAAATCACATTTATAGTAAAAACTAAAAAAATGTATATTTTTGCACTGTTATTTGAAGTATTTTACTCACTAAATCTGGTTTTAGTTTCTTATAAGCACCTGCACTGCGTTCGAGACATGTTCCTCTTTTCAGCTGAGTTTCATCCTTACTTATGTCATAATGAAGTAAAGACGACACTGTTGACATGACGGACGTCACAAGTCTGACATCTGATCCCTGAACAGACCTTAAGACTTTCTCTCCACGTGTCTTCCCTCTCAGTGACACCCTGATGAAAATGCTAAACTATGAATAATGAAATGAGGAGTGTTGATGACGGGCTGCTGGTCTCATCAAGCGTTTTGCTGTTCGTGCACAATAAACTTTAGTCACAATTTTTATTTCTAAAAAAAAGGAATTTTAGGGGCTTCTATTTTTAGGCCTTTTGCACTTATTTATTATATAAATTATAATTATCTTGATATTTAAATTAAAGTGTAACTTTGCAGATGTTTAACCTGCTTTGTATTGTTACGATGTCGGTGGTATATGTAAATGTTTTCTCATAATCTGTGTTACCTGACAAACATTAATTTATCAGCTATATATACAGTACTTATTTCTTCTCTTTGGCGTTTGGTCAAATGTAATTTTATGACGCGCTTTATGATGGGCTTATATTGTGTTTGTGTTAGTTGGTGTATTAATGTATTTTATATTGTTTGAACTAACTGTACAGCAGTGGCTGTTTTAAACGTGCTTTATAAATAAAAGTGCCTTGCCTATATTGTACTGTTCTCGCTGAGGTCTAACAACTCCAACTAAACAGTGAGCTAAACTCTCTCTATTCATGAACATGAAGAAATCCTGAGTTCTTTCTATGCAGTTTTGTTTGAAAAATTATTTTTTTAAAAATTGTAAAAAAAAAAAAATCTAGCATTTCGTAACATTTCGAGATTAAAGTCGAAACTTTTCGAGAAACTTTTCGAGATTAAAGTCGGAACATTTCGAGATTAAAGTCGAAACTTTTCGAGATTAAAGTCGAAACTTTTCGAGAAACTTTTCGAGATTAAAGTCGAAACATTTCGAGATTTAAGTCGAAACATTTCGAGATTAAAGTCGAAACTTTTCGGGGAAACTTTTCGAGATTAAAGTCGAAACATTTCGAGATTAAAGTCGAAACTTTGAGAAACTTTTCGAGATTAAAGTCGAAACATTTCGAGATTAAAGTCGAAACTTTTCGAGATTAAAGTCGAAACATTTCGAGATTAAAGTCTAAACATTTCAAGGTTAAATTCAAAACATTTCGAGATTAAAGTCGAAACATTTCATGGTTAAATTCGAAACTTTTCGAGATTAAAGTCAAAACATTTCGAGATTAAAGTCGAAACATTTCGAGATTAAAGTGGAAACATTTCAAGGTTAAATTCGAAACATTTCGAGATTAAAGTTGAAACATTTCGAGATTAAAGTCGAAACTTTTCGAGATTAAAGTCGAAACATTTCGAGATTAAAGTCGAAACATTTCAAGGTTAAATTCGAAACATTTCGAGATTAAAGTCGAAACATTTCCAGATTAAAGTCGTAACATTTTGAGATTAAAGTCGAATTATTTCAAGGTTAAATTCGAAACATTTCGAGATTAAAGTCGAAACATTTCAAGATTGAAGTCGAAACGTTTCGAGAATAAAGTCGTAACATTTCAAGGTTAAAATCTAAACATTTCAAGATTAAAGTCGAAACATTTCAAGATTAAAGTTGAAACATTTCAAGGTTAAATTCGAAACATTTCGAGATTAAAGTCGAAACATTCATATAAATTAAACATTAGCCAAAAAAACTATTTGTAAAGCAAACACTCAGAAACTGCATCTGCTCATGTCTTTAGTCAGAGATGATGCATAAAAACAGAGACATGTGGTCACAAATATCAACTTACCTTCACTTACGTTCAAGTCTGTATAATTCATATAGGCAGTAGAGTATATAAGGTGTAGATAAATGACAGAACCACAACCAACAAGACTTCCACAATAATGAAGAAAACTACAGGTACAGGCTCCTTGCATCTGGCTCAACTGGAAAAGATAATTATGCTCAAACTAATTTATTTAAAAGAATATTATATCTTTATGATTAACTAAAGAATATCAGAAAAGCTTTTAAATAAGGAGTCATATATCTCACTAATGAATAATATTGCTTTGATATAAAATACTTCTACTAATGTGAGCATCCCGAATCTCTCGCTGAAGTTCTCCAGGTGTGTGTGGCGTGTGTGCTCGGCTCGCTGCGGGCCGTGGTCGCGTCCGCTGTGGACTGTCCAGATCCAGAAACTGGAGGAACATCCTGTACCATCTCACTGGAGAAGCTTCTGGACCGAGCCGTCCAACACGCAGAGCTCATCTACCGCGTCTCACAGGAGTCCAAGTTGCTGTTTGTGAGTATGAACCTATAAAAGCTTTTCAGTCTCACTAAAGATGGAAACAGAGTGCACTTGACTGAGTGTCTCATCCCTAAATATGTTCAGGAGGAGATGCTGGATTCATTCGGAGGTGTGCATCTGCACGTTCCCAGCGGGACCATGTGTGCTCCAAAAACAGTGTCGATGTCTAAGAGTGAAATCCAGCAGATATCTGTGAGCTCTGATGAAATTCACTGTAGCAGAGTGACATTCTCCCTAGATAAACACGTCTTCAATGTTTTCCCCTCCAGGATAAATGGATCCTTCACTCACTCCTGATCCTGATCCAGTTCTGGACGGGTCCACTGGCCGATCTGCAGGCGTCTCTTGAGAATTATGGGAACGCCTCAAGTGCCCTGCTTAGCAGGAGCCAATGGATGTCGAGCAAACTAATGAGTCTGGAGCAGGGGGTTCTGGTTCTTGTTAGACAGGTAAATATGAAGTTTGAAAATGATTAGACTAAACTTTCTGGAAACATGTCTGGAATCAGTCTGTCTCTCTGTCAGATCCTGGGCGACGGGAGTTTGCTGTTGGAGGCTCCTGATGAGACGTCCAATCACGTCGTCTCCTCCGATGTGGAGTCTCTTAGGAGAGGCTACAACGCGCTCGTCTGCTTCAGGAGAGATGCCCACAAGATAGAGACTTTCCTCAAACTCCTGAAGTGCCGCCAGATCGATAAAGAGAATTGCTCCTTTTTCTAAACTAAACTTCTTGGCTTCTTCTGCCAGATTATTTTCAGCATTTTTAGCCAAATTTGGCTTTGCATTTGCACAAATTAAAACAAAAATGTTTACTTGGAGATGTTTACAAAAATGTTTACATGATTACTTGTGTTTTTGTCTCTAATGTCAGATATGGTTCACTCAAGCTTTGTAAAATCTTCTTTTCTGAATTAAAATGCATATTAAGAGAAATATTGAATCAGAATCACTTTCATACACATGGTCAATAGCTGTTTTAGATCACATTAAAAAAAAAATCTGGATTATTTCTATTTAATCCGAAATGCATTTTTTTTTTTTTTTTTGTATTCTGAAAGATTTAAAAGAAACATATTGTGGTGTAAAACTGAGTCAGATAATATTAAGAATTCTCAAATCACTGTGGACAACATCAGGTTTTGTTCAATGTTGCTCTTTCTTTGTATCTTTAAAGCATAAGAAGGATTTTTGGAAATTACAATGAAACACTTCACAGTATCTTACCTCAAAGTCTATTAATGAGAACATCAAAGTCTGAGCCCAATTATCACTCAATGGGGAGATGTTAGACGTGTATCCTGAGCCCAGGTCTTACACACTCTTTAACGGAAACGGTAAATTTAAGCGAGAGGTGATGATGCCGTGAAGGAAGGGTAAGAAAAGCGGTTCACTGTCGCAGTTGAGACACACACACAGACTCTCGCATCCAAGGATCTCTGTGAACAGAGCTAAGAAATGAGAAAAAAGCTGCATTTTACAGAGCATTTGGAGGTGAAAGAGAGCTGGTGTGTTGATCCGATGGAGACCAATATAGAGGTGCAGGGATGATGTATTTTTGTTGTCTAAACTGGAAACGAGTGCATTTCAGCACTTCCGGCTCCGTCATCCTGAATCAATGGGTGTTTGGTTCAATGTTTTATATAACTTTGAAGGAAAATGTGTTTTAAACAAAGACTGAAAGAGACTGGAAGCTTAAGGTGTGTTCACTTCACGCCAAGACGTTTTTACCGCAGTTACACTCTCTAAAGTAAACAATGCATGGGTTGTTTGAACCCAAATTTGGGTAAAATATGGATAAACCCAAATGTTTGGTTAAAAATGAATTTTTTCTTCCTGAACTTTCACTTTCAACTAAATTTTTTAATTGCATTTTTAACCCAACATTTGGGTTTGTCCATATTTGACCCAAATTTGGGTTCAAGCAACCCAGCATTGTTTAGAGTGATTTCGGCTTGTAAAGTGTGTTCACGTTTTTTTGTAGAGCTCGCAATTACAGCTTGTTTGAGAACTCCTACTTGCATTCATTTAGGTGTTGATAGTGTTGACATAGAAACTCATAATTCCCAGTCCGAAGATGTGCACAGTTCTGAATATACACTCTAAAAATCTGGGCCAAATGTGGACAAACCCAAATGTTGGGTTAAAAATGTAATCAAAAAATGTACAGTTGAAAGTGAAAGTTGAGTTTTTAAATTACATTTTAACCCAACATTTGGGTTTGTCCATGTTTGACCCAAATTTGGGTTAAAACAAGCCAGCATGTTTAGAGTGTAACGTTGGTGTCATCTTGAGACAGGAGTGATCCCACTGAATGCAGCGTCAGTGACGGTGATGTTGAAGTCATGTGACTGTGGTGTAGTTCCATTATAGTGAAATGAAAATAGATAAAAACAAAACTGATATCATAAAAGAAAACACTTGCAAATTACAAGTGTGAAACATTTCTCTACCCAGGCGGGTTTAAAACTCATTTCTTCCTCCTTGAAACAGTGCTAGCTTATCCTGACCGTGTTTTAGCACATATTGTTATCTGATGGTGTGTTATGCTATTTTTTGCCATGTGCATATTTATGTAAAGAATTATAGCATGTGTATTTTGTCAGACATAACTTAAACTACTGGTAGGTCACCCGGAGAGTCTAGGTCAGATTTACAAAACTCTGGAAGTTTCGAAACTCCCAATTTCAAAGCAACTGCACATTCAATGACAATACAGGGATAAAACACTTCAACATTTAATTAAAGGAAATTACTCATCCATATAGAGATAAAAATGTATATGACATTCATGCAGAATCAAACCTTTCCACCCTCTCTAAAATGTTCTGACCTTTTAAAAGCTGCTCAATTCAGATGCTTATTTTTATAGGTCAAACCATTTTAATCTTCACAGCAAAATGCTTACTATGCAATTAGAAAATTCACATTCATTCTCAGATCGCATCTATTCAAAATGTTGACATTAAGGTCTCTCTTGACATTGTTTGACATTAATAACATTATCATATTAATAATTTAGTAACATATGTAGAGGCAGGGGGACTGGGTTTGTCTTCAGCTCTTGAACACTCAGCGGGCGTCTCTTGTCAACGGCAGCAATCAAAGAGCACTTAAAAACATAAAACTGTTCTCCAGTGATTCTGTTAGAAGTTAGATCTTTATGTACCAGAATGAAAAACATTTAACACAGGAATGCAAATACTGACTCTGTTCCAAAAGCTAATGCAGTATTCTAGCTGAAGGAAAGGTTAACACTGCGAGAGTGGTTAGTTAGTGACGGGAAAACTAAAGACAAATATACAAAAGATTGTTGTGCAGTTTTTTTCTCAGCTAAATGAATAAAATGACAAAATCAGTGACAGGTTATGAGATGCATGTGGAAACAAATATCTTAAAATATGCAGCATTAGTCTTCATTTTCCCTTCAAACTGAATGGTTTACTATGGAAACTGGTTTGTTTTTAGGGCGGCCATGACAAATGTTTTTATAGCCAGCAAGTCTGTGCATCATGCAAATGCAACTCAGTTTGCTGCTAACATGTTGCTAAGCTGAATATACAGACACACACACTTACATACAGACACACATTTAATATCAGAGAGGTCCCAGACCTTAGGACTTTTGTTTCACTTGAACCAAGAACACAGAGTTTATGTGGGAGTCGTAATAATAATAAAAAAGTTACAAATCGCAGGTAAATTCGACCCCTTTAGGAATGAATGGAATGCTTCCATATACTGAAAATCCTAAAATAAAAAATCAAATAAAATGCTGGTTTATGCATGCATTGGAGAGTTATTTTAAATTTATTTTGAAGGAATATGAGAAATGTGCTTATTATTTATTGATAAATCTAGTAATTTAAATGTACATAAAAAAAGAAAAATCTCCCAAAAATGAATTAATTAAATAATAAAAATATAAAAATGAAATGATATAAGCTTTCTGAAAAAAAGGGGGGAAAAAAAGTATAATTTAGGGCTACGGGTCATTTTGACCTGCGAGGGAAGGAATTGTTACAAAATGCAAGGAGAGGATGAGAATTAAAAAATGGGTTATTTAAATGGTAATATATTACAATAATACTGTATTTTTGATCAAATAAAAACATCTTACCCTACTGAACATAAAAAGCCTCTTTCAAAAACACTGACCACAAACAGACTGTGTAGGCCGGTATCGGGTTAGGCAATATCATTAACCTTATATAAAATCAGTGGAAGTCAATGCAATGTTGTCACTAATATAGTGAAATAAAGCTTTATTACAATGTAATCAAAACAAGGTTAGCAACATTATTGTCAGAAACGCATATAATACCTTAAAAGTCTGTCTAGTTTCTCTTCCACTCTCTCTTGTATGTGTCTTCTAACTTTCCCAGGATGTTTCCTTGATTCTCGAGGCGAACCGTTAATCACCCGTCTCAGTTACATCAACAGACTCTTGAAGGTCAATGACATCAAATCCCATGTTATCGATGCCTTCACGTCCGTGTCTTTGGAGGATAAGCTCCTTGTGATGTTCCTTGTGGAAACAGCCGGCGCAGTGCGGAGTCGCCGCCGCTTCCGTTTTGGAGAAGTTGGACAGGTCGACGCGGTATTTCCCATCCTTGGTGCGCGAGATGACGGGCAGGAAGCTGTAGCCCCACTTGATCTCGCGCGGGAGGTAGGACGTCCGCACCTGACAGGACAAGCTGGTGGATTCGGCCGTTCCCTCCAGGAACACCACTAACTCAAAGTCCTGCTGCTGAAGAGTGTCCGTGGCCATCTCGGAAAACGGGCTGGATTTGTCGATCACGTGGTACAGAGTAAGCGGGCAAACGAAGAACAGATTGTCCTTCCCCGCATCCACCAAAAAGTCAATATTCACCTGATCCAGGATGATGGTCTCCCCCTCCGGGGTGATGGTGGTCTGCAGAAGCTTTCCATAAATGTGGCTGCCGATCAGAAGAGTTTTGCGTAGGTTGGCCACTCGTATCTGGAGGCACAGTTTCCCCTTCCAGAGACAAATGACTGCCGTTTCGCTGAAGGTCACCGTCTTTGCTCGTCTCTTCGGGAGAGAGATCTTTGCCAAAATGAGTCCACACATGAAGCAGTTTATGATGGCGCCCATGAGGGACTGGATGATCAACAGGGCGACCGTGCCCGGGCAGTGACCCGTGAGAGCCCGGCCGCCGTAGCCGATCGTCGTCTGGGTCTCTAAAGAGTACAAGAAGGCGGTCGTGAGGCTGTGAATGTTCTCTATACACTTCATCTGCTGAGATCCAGACGAGTTCTGGAGAACCTCCAAGTCTCCATTACTTTTCGCCAGCAAATACCAAAACAATCCAAAAACGAACCAGCTTCCCGTGAAGGCAGCCGCAAATAAAACGATCACGAAACACCAGCGAATCTCGACAAACGTAGTCCAGAAGTCCAGAAGGAAAGCAAAATGGTTGTGATGTTCATTAGTCCCAAATTTAATGTTGCAGTGGCCGTCCTTCGTAACGAGACGTGTTTTCCTAATTTTCCGCTCCACGAGGTGATCATGAATCTGTTTCCGGATGAACTGGAACATCTTTCGGCTAGCGGAAAAACAGAAATGCAGATATCAGTAAAATAACGAATAACTTTAAATAAATATATACAGTATTATTCATAGTGTCCTGCAATTGATATACAAATAATATTATATATATATTTGATTTGATTTGAGATCTTTATTTTGAACATGTAAATAATAAATAAAAATACAATTATTAATCAATGAAACAAGGAATATTAATTAAAAGAAACAAAACAAAAATGAACAACAAGGTAAAAAAAAAAAAAATCCAAACTTTCCAATACTTGAAAAAAAAAAAAAAAAAACAAAAAACAACCCTCTATTTACATGTGCAAAAAGGAGTAGGAAGAAGTAAAACGTATGTACTTATACCATATTTAAACAAATACCTATAAAATAAATAAATAAAAATCTAAATAAGTAATCAATCTATAATCCACGAAAGTATTGATTCAGAAGTTCTATACACATAAGGATGTTTCCCGATACATGACAATATTTATACTACGGGTTTATTCAATATAAGCTCAAGTTAACACTGTGTTTCTCTGTAACTCTGGAATATAATTTCTTTGAACATCTTTTTAAAATGAATTATGTTTGGACATTGCTTAAATTCATTACTTAGATTATTCCACAACTTAACACCATATATATTTGTAATGCTTAATATTATAATAATTATATATATAATACTTTAATAGTGCCCTTGCATACAACTGATATACCCAAACACACAAATAATGCATTTATTTCATTAATACTATAAAATAATTTAATGCTTAAAAAAAAAAAAACATTTTCAAAATCTCTCCTCCTAATGATTTCTAACACAACAATAATATTTGGATGTCTTGCAAGTGGTAAAATGATGGTGAAAGTTAATTATTGTTCAGTAAGAAAGGCACATTAAAATGCACATAAACCCAATGAAAGATAAACATGTGCCGCTCACAGTAAAGCACACAATGCAGCAATGATTGCTTTCTCTGTCACCTATAAATGTGAGTGTGAAGAAGTAAACGCCACATACCGACAGACTGAACACGTCCCGGCGAACTGCAGTGCTGTTGAAGATCAGGCCATGAAGTTCTCCTCGGGAGCATATAAACATCAGGGTGCTGCTCAAATCCTCAATGAAATGTCCTAATCCCAGGCACATGCCACAGTTTACACACTATAGAGCAAAGACAGCTTAGAAAATGCTTAGAAAAACTAACCTCACATCTAAGTTAGAGTTCGCTCACCAACCAACTAACCAACGCAAACGCAAGACAAGGAGTTAAAGAGTCCACTACGGGACGGGTTTGCATTGAAGATCAAAAATACCTCGACTGTAATCAGGGAACCCCATGAAAAGAGGACCGTCAGACGTGTAGTTCCTCGTACCCATGGGAACGCAAAGGCTTTGCAGAGAACAACAAAGAAAGAGTTGAATCCCATTTCCAGTCACGCTGATCCACAAACTCTGCATTTGCATTTGAATAAACTGATGTGAATGCTTTGAGATCTGGATAGTAATTTACAGTGCTCCTTCATTTTGTGGAAAAGTCTAGCTGTTAAATGTAGTTTTTAAGTTAATCATATGAAAATAAAAGTTTAAGACTTGTGCTGAATGTAAATAAACATCAGAGCGCAAGGAATCTATGCATGTAATTGAAAACTTCACTCAAACACACTGACAGAGCAACACAAATACCACTTACTGTATCTCACACGTCACCACAATCATTTCCTCTGTAACACTTGCAGGAAGATAAACCTCAGATTGGCAAACATTGTCAAAGCACACTCACATCTCATCTGTAAATCATTACAGAGAAAGTTGTCATTTATAAATACTGCAACTCCAACAGTAGAGTCCCATATACCAAAGATTATCGCATCCAGCATAAAAGTTTGTAAATATATGCGTATGTATGTATGTATAGGTATATATATATACACACACAGTTGTAATCAAAATTATTGAACCCCCCCATTGCAAATGAGGTTTATTGGCAAATTTTAGACTTCTGTTTGCAATGAAATTATAATGAAAATATATATATATATATATTAACCAGTTAACCTTCAGCCCCCCGCCGGCATAAACATGATTGCAATTATATTTGAGTTACCTTTGTTCTTCAAGCCATGCCAGGTATTTTCATAGATTATATTTATAATGTAATGCTAATCGATATAGATTTTTTTTATTGTGCACAATACAATAAATAATATATTTTCTGTCTGATTTTTTATCTGAAGCCAAATTAGATCACAGAAGATTATATAAAGCACTCGACTTACGTTATAAAGTAAGTTTGGAGCAAAACATGGTTTTAATCTCATAAATTGCCATGTATTGATGATGTGCTAAGCTAACATGCTAATATTAGCTCGCTTAGGTGCACCTGTCATCAGTAGAAGTCATTCTTTTATGATTTTTCGAAGGAACTTTTCAGCCCTATGGATCCGCGCTGTCTGGAGGGAGAAGAATAAAGTATATGCTGAAAACAACACGCTGATATATGGAGAGAGTCGGTCTGACAGCAACACTTGTTGGTATAATTATGTAATTGTTCTGGAGACCCTCCGTAAGGCCATTTAAAAGCTCTTAAGGAGTTTTAAATTCTTCTATGGAATTTTCTGTCTAAATATTGAATCTTGCTGCCAAACATATCACAGCAGATAAGTAATAAGACCTGGTAATTACTTGGAAATAATGAACATATAACAAGGAGCTAAAGCCACATGAGTGGGAGAACACGAGAGCTTTAGCTAGTGACAACACTGAATCAAAAACCCTTAAGGAAAGAAAACCATTAGTTATATTTGTACTCTTACTAAGGGCTTTCTCAAAGGGATTTGTTGTGACTGGCTTCAGGCGCTTTAGGAGGAACAACACAAAGATGAGAGTCTCTGACTTATAAATCATCTCTCAACACTGGATGTCAAGCTGTAATGAGAATGATTGAGAGGTGCAAGTGGGAAAGCGTGTCCCTCATGTCGTTCCAAACCTGATTTTTATCCGAAAATAATTAACATAGATGACTATTAATCTCCAAATGTGCCAAAAAATAATAATAATACAAAGATTACATCAATCACACAATCTGTGAGCTATATTCCAAGACGTCAAAAGCCGCTTTGACAGATTTTCATTTGAGTGAACCGTTTGTTCCTTTAAAAAGAGAATTGATATTCAAGAGAAATAAATCTATCCTGTGATTCCCTGTGAATAGAGGGCATTGTAAGACTTTGATTATGTAAAGGGTAACAGTGAAACCTTCTTTAAAAACCTCATAAATAAGCAGCACATTAACAAACTTTGGACAGTCAATCCTGTTTTTCGGCTGTGGAGTTTGGGACTGTTTCTGCCTCTCTATCCCTGGATTTACAACGAGCTCTGAACTATGGAAGCTTGTTTCCGCCATTGAATGAAAAATATAAAAGGTAATTGCGACTTTTTATCTCACAATTCTGACTTTTTTTCTCACAATTGTGAGTTTACTTCTGGAAAGTCAGAATTGTGAGATATAAAGTCAGAATTGCGTGATATAAAGTCGCAAGTGCGAGATATAAAGTCAGAATTGCGAGATATGAAGTCAGAATTGCGAGTTATAAAGTCAGAATTGCAAGATATAAAGTCAGAATTGCTATATAAAGTCGCAATTGCGTGTTATAAAGTCAGAAATGCATGATATAAAGTCAGAATTGTGAGATTTAAACTATTCTGAAGGGGGATTGGCCTAATAAGTCGCAATTGCGAGTTTATATCTCACAATTCTGAGAAAAGATGTCAGAATTTCGATATATAAACTCGCAATTATGTGTTATAAAGTCAGAATTGCGAGATGTAAACTCGCAATTGTGAGAAAAAAAGTCAGAATTGTGAGAAAAAAAGTCAGAATTGTGAGATAAAATGTCACAATTATTTATTATATTTTTTTATTAAGTGGCGGAAACAACGTACCGGTATTAACGTGACTACAACGTGACTCCCAAATATCTAACGCGGTAATCTCGGTATTTTGCGAATACCGCTAGATATTCATAAATTCAATTTTTTCAGTTATATTGTTTTGTTAAATTTAGTACTCTTTACAACTTTTAACACCAAACCTTTTAATAAAGATACAAAATCGAGGCTTAACTGAACGTTTAACCTTTTCCTCACCTCAGAGTCCAACTCGCGTGAAGCACAGGCATTATTAATCAAACACAGAGAGCATACTTTTACCGCACAAACTAAAAAGTGGAAAGAGATTCAAGCCTTCATGTTGCACATTTGCACTTTTTGAGGAAAACAATGGCACACACACACACACAAAGATTTTTCAGGTCTGACTATGTCCAATTAAATCCCTCACCTTTTCTAGATATATGGTTAAAATACATATTTTGCCTTTAATTTACTTAAGGTGTACTAAAATGTGCTTCCAATTATTTATTCTCATATCCCAATATAATATCGATATCATCCGTACAGTGAAAAATATCGTGATATGAATTTTTGCTCGCCCACCCCTATGACAGACAAAACACAATGATTTAAATACAATCAGTACTTTATTAAAATGCAGAATTAATGTATTAAAAACACCAGATTTAGACAAAACCACAAAAAAGATCAAAACATGACCACATTACACACTGACCAACACAGACAACCACCAGATTACAGTGAGTCACTCCTCAGACACACGACTCACATGTTCAATCGGCGAAGTGTCTGTTGGTTGCACTGTGAACTGGTCTTAATGCATTTTTTAAAACTTGTGTTGCAATAACGCCATTATAACATTAAAAAAAACAAGTAAAAAAAATGAAGTCCCCCCCAAAAAACAGCAGGTCTCTAGAGTTTCCCGGCCTCCTTGAACTTGAGGAGCAGTCCGTCGTCGGCCCGCAGTGGGAACGCCAGGCTGCGCTTCTGATAGTAACTGGAGTCCGCCTGCAGGTTCTGAATGACATCGGACAGCAGGTGTGCTCGTTCCACTCCGCTTCCTGGAGCGCTGTACTCCAGCGAGGTGAAGTGGACGTGGAGGTGATAGTACGACGGCTGATAGTGGAAATAAACGCGCAGTTTGCTCGGAGGGACGCCGTACTGCCGCTGAATGGTGTCCTGTGGACACAGACAACACTTGAATTTCAATTTGACGTACGCAGCCGTGCGACACCTCACAAATGCACTCGTGTGTGGTGTTGATCACCATGTCATTTTGGGGGATTTTGAGAGTATGCTTCTGTGATATGTGGCAGGCTGGAAGAATCTTCAACAGTAGTTTTTTTTAAAGGAAATAAATACTTTGATTTAAAACTGACAGCAACTCATTTCACAATACTTGTTTTTTTCTGATCACATAAATGCCATCTTGATGACCATAAAAGGCTTACCGACCCCTAGCTATGAGGTAACCACTGCGCCATACTTTTAAAAAGCAAGTACACAATTACGTTTAATCAATTAGCAGACGCTTTTGTCCAAAACGACGAGAACAATTAAAGCAATCTAATCAACAAGAGGCAACAGAATGCAAGTCTGTCTACATTTACAGATTAACAGTGACACCTAGTGGACAACAGAATAACACAATCATGTGACAGATGAATCAATAGCTCACCTCTCCTTTCCTGCGAATGTTTGTGAGTAATGGCAGATGCTGCGATGTAAGATCCCTCAAACTTTTAACATCCCTCCGGTGGACGATGGCGATCAAATACAGGTCTTGTAGCTGGAGAGTTAAGGAAACAATCATTGATTTGTCTCACATTGAGTCTCACACACTCTGACTCGACTCACCTGCTTTTGATCCCACTTGAAATCGGGCAACAAAACAAATCCAGTAACGGGGTCTGGGTCCTCGAAAACAATCCGATCAGCCTCGGCTTTCTTCTCCAATATATTGTGTACCCACTGAAATGAAAATGAAACATGAAATAAGCTGTGTGTGTATATAAGGAATAAGGTCAGAGGTCACTGGAGCCTCACCTGCACACTGAAGCTCTGGCTGCTGATGTACGGCAGGGTGACGGTACGATAGTCCTCCCCTGATTCTTCAACTAGAAAAACCTCCTGATGTAAATACTTCTTAACATGCTTCTCCGTCGCGGGGCAAATCACGGTCGTTTTGATTTCTGGCACAAAAAAAAATGTAATGGTCGTAAATCAACCTTCAAACGGACTTTTGGTTTAACTCATGATGGTGTGGATTGGAGTCTTGGACTTTCAGGCAACTTTTTCAATAATTAAATTGTAATTTAATTATTGAAAAACCTGATGAGTCCGCCCGAAAATGTGTCCGCGATTGGGCTTTTGCGTTCTACAGTCGCCGTTCATTCTGTTTCCTGTGGCGAGCGGGACGAGTGAGGGCCGCGGGAGAACGGCGGGATTACCCATGAGACGCACCGGTCTCGTATCTCTCACGGAGGATTTTCTTAGCGATGTTGAAACGCACATCAACCGATCACTTGTTTAGCGTTCATGTAAACACTACATTCAAAAAAAGATGGCCGACACTATGTGTTCATTCTGTGAGTGAGATCGCCCTCTATGGGCAGGTTGAGGACATGCAGGAGTGACTGGACTCTGGACAAAACATCCTCCGATGATGCAAAATGGCCATTTTTTGTTTTTTCCAGTCAAAAAATACATAAATCTCTTGTCTCGAAAATACTACAGGTTTTCTACTATTACAAAGCTTAAATCCTGAAGTATCCCTTTAATAAATGGACAAACAGAGGCTGGTGAGAGAACATGTGATCCTACCATTCAGGTGTGCTGGTGCCTGCAGCTGGTATGAGCTGTACACGTCATTCTTCATCTCCAGATGGAGCCGACTGCTCTTCAGTAACTCGGACAGCGTGTCCTGTCTGATGGGAGTCTTCTCCAGGATCACAACAGCATCCTG